CTAGTGCTCATAGTAAGGGAGAAGGTGATTGGGAAAGAGTTACGGTAGCTTTAATACACACATCAAAACCATAAACCACTTTTCCAGTGGCACCACTGTGAACACCTACAGTAAGAAGGGAAGGAAGGAAGGAAGGAAGGGAGGGAGGGAGGGAGAAAGGTTGTGTTATCTACTGTATTGTCTGATGATAGCATTGACAGAATGATTTTTTGAAATATGACCGCTCCACTTTATGAGCTTTGTGTCTCTCTCGTGTCAAATTCTTTCCAGCCACCTTTGTCTGTGTTTTTATATTTACGTGAGTTTCCTTCCTCTGTCTCTCTGCCTGTCAGTCTGCCATTCGACTTCACTTATTTTCAGTCTCTCACACACGCACACATATCTACCTCGTAGATCGTGAACTGCCAGTATGATGACCATGTGTCATCCTGAGCCAGCTTTGTTATTGATCACCATGTGTAATGATCAGGAGATGCAGATGATGGCGCCACCCTCATCGATTACCAGTGACAGTTAAAAAGCATGGCATAATTCCCATTGATCGTCAGTGACAGTGTGTAAAAAATGGTGTCATCTACATTGATTAGTAATAAAAGTATGTGGGAAAGATGTGTCATGGGTCCACAGCATAGGAGCCCTCTCACACACACTTCTATTCATCATCTGAATGTGTGTGGCACACGTGCAAACACATATGTTTGAAAGGACCTGAAGAGCCACATTAAACCCACGAGTCTCAGCTTAAGATGGTGAAAAATACTAACATACTGCGGAAATCAACTCGTTGGCATGCACACATGTTGAAAAGAGAGCAGCACTGAGAGTTTCTCACTGTTGTCTGAGTGGAGCAGAGAAATGTGAACCAAATCTAGGCAAGTTCTCACAACAGTCTCGACGCAGAGAAACAAAAACACGATTTTTCCTCTTAAACGTCTGGAAATTGAACCCTGGCTGCCACCTGGGGGATTCATAGGGAGTTGAGACATATTGTTTCACCCTAAAAATACATAGTTAAGCCTGAAAAAACATATTACTATCATTTCCTTTAGCTGGATGTAATTAACATGTCAAAAGGATTTCCATTGTTGAAAAATTATGGGAAATGTCCAATCACCAAAATTCCTTTTAATAAAGCAAATTGGATTCTGTGAAACTCTCCACTGTCTTTTTGCATCTGCAACCGCTGTCTGACACAGAAGCAGAGCGGTCACTGTCACATGTGTCCTTTGGTTCCATATTGATCGGAGACTAAAATAGTGTGTTGAACTCTTGCTTGGGGGTCCTAACAATATCACTGCACCAATGTGATTCATTAAGCTTTTGATGGGTCAAAAGAGAAATAAAAATAGGTTAAAAAAAGTCTTAGGTCCATGATCTATTGAATCATCAGTAAAGGCTTGGCTTTAAAAACACTTAGTAAAGATCACCTCTACCACTATGGTATGGTATCCTGGAGGAGCACCTTGGTAGTTTACAGCTCCTAAAAAAGTATCCTGAGCACACAGATCTACTGCTGTTTGCCAACTGTCTGTGAAAGAAAACATTGAACTGACAGCCAAGTTACTTTTGATCCTGCTCTCTTTTTTGATCAGGACAATAAAGAAATCATCAAGACCACCTGTTTTAACCTTAACAACATTAGAAAAATTAAATGATGTCTGTCCTGATACCGAGACCCCAATTCAAGCCTTGTTTCGTCCAGACTTGATTGTTGTATAACCTTTTTTCGTCAGGCCTGGCACGTGCTAGAACTTCAGATGGTTCAGAATGATTAAAAGTAGAAAGTTGGACCATATTACACCAATCTCCCTTCAATGGCTCTCCGTGTGAGAACAGACTTTAAGCGGCTTCTGAAGACTTTCTCTATGGGCACACCCCTTCATACCTGTCTGATCTCCTTAAACCACATACCACTCTGTGCATTCTGCTCCCGTCTGTTCCAAGAGTTTAAAAAGAAGTCATCAGACTGCATGGCCTTTTCCTATCATGCCTCCTTCCTCTGGAATAATTTCTGTTTGTTTCTTTAAATTCAAAATTAAAACTCATCTTTTTGTCTTAACTTTTGATTACATTGCCTGTTACCATTATCCTTAAGTTGGGTTGGTCTCAGTCTCAAATGATCTATTAAGCCTAGTGCTTGTAGTCCATGTTTGTCGTGCAGACGAGACTACGTCTGAGGACAATAGGCCATCCTGGGACCTCTCTCCCCCTCCTCTGGCTGCTCCTCATTCCAGATGTTACAGATCTGGGTTCGCATCCTCCAGGAGATTCAGCTTCTCCTTGTGACTCTCTCTCCCTTGTGTGCATTTTGTCAGCACAATTTATATTGTATTATTGTATTTACCTCAGGCAAAATGAAAAGCTGTGCCAAAATGGTCATTCAAGTTTGTTTGGAATCAATTTGACTCATGGTTAGGTCAGTTTCACAAGAAGCACAAGTGCTGTCGCTATGGTTACTTGCAGTTTAAAGCGAGCCTGTGTAACTTTTGTTGAACAGCAGTTACTGTGGCCGCAAGTTATAATTATCAACAGTTTTATTGTAATGTTAGCAGCATGAATAGAGAAGCACACACAGCTTCATGTATTCGCATCAATTACCTGAAGTTTGCTAACATTAGCAAACATTTTGCCACTATAAGCAAGTAGTCATATAACATGTAGCCTACATTGTTATACAATAACATGCCTACAATTACTATTATTTAAAGTTACATCTTGTTTTGATTTACCTCACAAGAATAATGTTTAAACTGTTTACCTGCTAGGAAATAAATATATTCCATGGCCATGGTAGTGACTCAAATGATTTGGGTGATGCAAAGACAATTATCTTCTTACTTGAAGCACACAATCAGGTACATGCTGTTGTGTTCACAGTGTTTTATTGTGGAACCATGCTTATTTTTCTCTCATGTAGAAGACCTGAGTGTTAAGTTATTACCGTTTACTTTAATTGAATGCTTTTTGTTTCATGAATCACACACTGTGCTGTATGTGGTGTACATTATTTTCCCCCTCCTCTTTCTATTGTATTCCTCTTTGTTCCTTGCATCCATTCTTCTTCATTCACCTCTTCTTCGATGGGTAGGCTCTCTCTAGCTCTCTCTCTGTGATATATATGTCCATGGTGTGTTTTTCCCCTGCTACCTTGATGAGTGCTCAACCACACATGCGCACACACAAATAGATGGATGAGCTGGTAATAACTAAACCAGCCAGACTTCACTGTGAATTATAATCACCTTCAATCTGTGTCTCTGAATCCCTGCCCAGTTCTTATGTTTGTGTGTGTATGTGTGTTAGGAAGCTCTGCTCTGCCTCACCAAGTCATGTGTGAGTATCTTTCATGAGTGTAAGTGATGGAGCAGTGAATAGTTTGTTCCCCGAAGGGCTGTGTATGTATGTGTGTGTCAGTGTCCCTGCTTATTATTCTCTCGGTCCCCTGGTATTTGACCCGTCTCTCTGTTCTGTCGAGGTTTTATGTGAGCTGGAATATAATTCTATTTCCACTGCGGCTCAAATACAGTGTATGCACACACACACACACACACACACACACACACACACACACACACACACACACACACACACACACACACACACACACACACACACACACACCTTTAGGGAACAACCATCAGGGTGAGTGGTCCATCACTCACCCTCACATAAGGTATTCAACTGCACTATGTCAATGTCACATTGTCAATGGCTAAGTGTGTGTCTGTGTGTGTGTGTGTGTGTGTGTGTGTGAATAACTGGTGGTCTAGCAGTCACTGAGGTACCAAGGGAGGATACACTCTGGAAATATAAATCTCAGAGAGAAAGAGTGGGAGAGAGAGGACATTTGAGAGAAAATCTGTATATCTAAAGTTCTCAACAGAAACCTACTCTTCCAACCAAAAAAACATTCAATTCATCTCATTGTTACCTGGAACCTGACTGCGTTGAGACTAATTACTGCTGGCTCTGTGGTGTGGTGTAATCTTGCCAACAATAGAGGACACTGAAAAGAAAAATCCTCTTCAGATATAGCTGGAAAAGCATTTTGAGGGTATCTGTGGAACACATTTAGACTTTTTGCACCTTCTAATGCCACTTGAAACTTTATTTCAGACAAAACTTGAAATATAGAAGCCGCATTCAATATTGTTGCTGCTTTAATAATCACACATTTTCATGTAGAAATTCAAATATCTATCTCAGTGCAATACCAACATGTGCTTGGTTTTTCACCAGCGTTTATACTGTGACTGATTTATCTGTAAGAACCACACTGCGCTGACCCCACTGACTTAAAAAATGACTGAAGGATAAATAAAAAAGGATAACCCTCGAAACATCCCCAACATATTATTATCATCAAGACATGAAACTGATGTCAGAGGATGACCTTTGTGTTACCAAACTCCAGCCCTTTGCCTCATATTAAGTCTTGATCATGTGATAATCAGTTTAATTGTAGGCATTAATGATGTATGGTAGGTATTATTAAGGACAATAACTTAGTCATTGAGTCATGTTGTCAGTAGTTCTTTGGATGTGGGAATGTTCAGGAGACATGCAAGAAAAAAAAAAGTGTGTTTTTCTAAATCTATGATGGCTGATCCAACCTGAAATTGAAGAGAACTATGCAGTATGAAAAGTCCTCCAGTCCCATAAAGCTGTAAAATATGTCGGGGCGTGAGAAGCCTGCATGGATGAGAAACAAGGTGCTGTATAAAATGGCACGATACTTCCCTCTGCTGCAGAAAGCAGGAACAACACCACCCTCATGTCACTCTGAAAACAGCTACTGTACGGTTTTCTAGTCAGTCCCTTCTTATCAAAATCAAAAAATTGTATGAATAGTGTAATTATGTAGCTGTTTTAGCACATGTACAGAGAACATCAGGCTATGACAATCAAGCTTATAGATATATTTCATTAATGACCATTTATAATGATACAGTTTGGGTAAATATATCTGGCAGAAAGACAATACAATAGACTACCGACTGCATAAATGCAATATTTATTTTGAAAGCACAGTTTTCACATCTGGCTGTAGAGAGGTTAGCCAGTGTTGCATACGAATTTGTGGTCAGACCTTGTATGTTTTCACTGTCTTACATCAAGACCCCTATGGTGAGAGACACAACCATGACAGTGCTCCAAATTGTCATAGCAACCCCAGAAATTGTGGTTGTCATTGTGGTGACAGCAGCATTAGGGAGGGTACCATAGGTCTTGTCGTGGACATATGTGATGATGGAGAGAGCTCCTGCGAAGGCCTCCTCACAGGCTGGCTTGATCTGCTCCTCTGGTAGCAAGTGGCTGAATTCACCTGGAGCATCATTTATTAATATATTATCAAGTTAAAAGGCAGTAGATTATGTTGTATGGCTGATAACTATAAGGAGTACATGATACTGGCCCACTCACCTTTGTCTCTCAGCTCAAAGGTATAAGAGAATGGGATGCCAATGAGACGAGCCCAGTCACGACTTGAGCCTGAGTTTGCATCTGAAGATTAAGGAGAAAGCAGTCTGAGACTTTTTTTTCATTTTCTTTCATTCACCATCCTTTACTCTGTTTTGAGGTTAGCCAACTCCCACTAACTTGTGTGCTATTCATACACCCATGTTTGTGTATCTTAGCTCATAACTGCCCAAAATGGAGTCTAAGTGATACATGATACAAACTCCCAACATCTAATGTAAATGATGCATTATATCCCATGCATTCACAGTGACATCAAAGGCTGATGTGGATTATTTCAACTGGTGTCCTAATTTGCCTTCCTGTATATTGTTTTTATTTAGGTTGCTAAGGTTAAAACAAAGGGAGTGCAGATCAGACCATGTGCATAACAGCTATTCAGGACAAGCAAGGAAAGGAAAGAATGGGTTAAGTCAGTGTGTGAGTATTAATCTTACATAGGATTTGTGGAGATGTTCCTACAGTGTAGTTCATCCCATGTAGCTTCTTCATTTCTGCCGCTGCTGCCTTACCAACTGAAACCTGCAAAGTTCACAAAAATTATAAAAATAGAAACAATAATATCAGTGCATGAGCGACATTCACTATGTGTTAAAACTGGTCTCATAAACCTTGGGCTGTTCTTAAAAGCTGTGTATCTTTTATCTAAAGGTCTACTGCTTGACTTACTGTTATACAAATTGAAAGAAGCACGCACCAGTTCATTGTAGTTGGGTGCAGAGATCTCAGGGTGGCCATATGGCAAGAGTATAAGTTGCCCAGCAGAGTGGATAGTGAGGAAACACAGAGTTCGGTTAACCAGCTTACCTAGATACACACAGAATACCTGCACATGTAATTTAAGATGTAACAAACCTTCCTGTCTCATTTTTAGTAATGTTTAGTTTTTAATGTAATTTTATAGGGAGATAGTTACCAACAAAGTCCATCACAGCTTTAGCCTCTGGCTCTGACCCGGCTGATTTCCCACAGTAGGTATTTGAACAACTGTCAAATGACACCCCGACCGCTGAGGAAAGAGAGTACATACCACACAAAACTTTCAGCTCAAAAATAATATATCAGGTTTATGTTTAAACTTTATTTGCTTTCATATGTCAAAAATAATCGTAAAATGGAAAAGAAATGCACACTGACATAGAGAAGATATTCAGCTGCAAGGGGTATTTTGGCTGCAATAACATTTTAGGCAATGAACAGACTGTGGCAACAAATTTCCTGGAAAGGACAATAAAAAAATCTATCTATCTATCCAAATCTAATCTTCTTTGAAAAGTTGAAAAGTTTCCAGTATGTGACCAGTATAATTTGTCATGTCAAAAATGGTTTAATCCTACACATAGGAGCTCTGAGTCACTATCCCCTTGAGGTAAATAAGGGTTAATTAGTCAGATTGTGATTCTTGAAAGTATACAACTCACTTCCCCAGTTGGCATTAAAGTTCCTGTTGAGGTCAACTCCATAACAGCCACTGCCTGGAGGAGGGGTTGAACGAGACTTTCTCCACAGACGAGTCTACATGGAAACAGCACACAGACGCAGGCACAGAGGTCAGACAACATTCATTCAATTGATTGATTCAGTTATGTTTTAAGTGAATCAACTGCACTGAATGAACTGAAATGTAATTCTGAATAATAAAACCTGAGAAGCACTCACACTGTCATTGGCCCAAGTGAATATGTATCCATCCACATTGATCACAGGAGTAACATAGATGTCAACGTTCTGCAGAATCTGCTCCAGCTTCTTATTGGTTTTATATGAGTTGACAATCTGAACAAAGGAGCAATTTCAAACACTCACATGTCAGACTGTAGTTGTTTTGGTGAATATGTGTATCACTGAAGGTGTACAAACCTCTTTGACAAACCACTGGCAGAAGGCAGGAGCGATCCACTCCCGAGCGTGGATACCACAGTCCATCCAAATAACTTTCTTCTCTCTGCTCTCTGGGTTTTGTAGCCCCAACTGGAGACACACAAGAAACACTTGTGCTATATTGTCCATCGCAAGGAAAATGTTTCATTTAGTGAAGCTATGCACGTATGAGTGTATCTTAAACTTGTGCAATATTTTTCTTAGCAGACATTTTTACCACCTTTAGCACATCTTGCATTTGCAGTCAGGTAATCACTGGCACAGCTTTCCATTCACTTATCTCAATCACAAATAGTGTGTAAGCCACTTTGTGTATTATTTGGCTTAGCATATGCATAAATATTAATGACAACAGTCCATATGCAGTTCACTAAATAACATTATGTAAAGAATATCAATGTGAGAGTTGTCATGTGTCCACTACTGCTTTTCACAGTCACTGTCAGAGGGTTACCATTTTGCTTTAAACTCCCCACTTCCTAAAAGTGACACCACAGGTAAAATAAAATGCGTTGAATACCTTCAGCAGTGTGATATTTCTTTCTTCATAAGTGTGTCCGTAGATGGCAGAGGAGACCAACTCTGGGTTCCCTCGTTCCACATCTTCCATCCACCTGTATATCTGGTATATTGCAATTTAATCATTGTGATAATTAAATTCCAGAATGGTAGGCCTATTTATAGTTTTCTTTGGTCAATGTCCACCTGTAATCTACAAAGATTAAAGTGCAGATCAAAGGCAGGAGAAAGGGGCATGAGACAACACAGAGAAAGATATGTTTATAATAAGACATTCTGTCTGGTAATCTGGGACTCTGGTGAACTTGTCTACTATTCGAAAACACTTCACCCTTCTATCTGTGTTGCTCTCATCAAGGGTTTGTTGTCTTACCTACTGAAAAGAAAAATATTAAACTCACTGACTTTGTGGAGACCCTGGACAATATTTGTGAAATCTATAATTAACATTTCTAATACAACTATAGAGTCCAACTTGGAAATGTTTATGTTGTAGATAGTCCTACCTCATCCATAGAGTGATATTTGGTGTAGTCATAGCTCCGTGTTGATTCCAAACCCTCCACTAAACTGTGAATTAAAAAATGATTAGGATTACAAATACATGTAGAATTATTTCCAATATGTCATGATTCCGATTTGATGAGTGCTAAAATGAACATAGGTTTGAGTTGGACCTAAACTCTTTCTAAGAAAAGGACAATGTCAGCTGTGCAGTTGTGAATACATGCAAATATAATCTCATTCATTTATGAATTCCATTAATTCATAAAGTAAATTCATAAAGTAAAAACATTTACAAAACAAAATTTGTTCTAATGGTTCTAACTTTTGTTTCACGAATGCCTGAATTTATATAATTCAGAAAAGGAAACAAAATTAAATTTGCTCAAACAGAAGTTTGAACACTCACCTGTTAGAAGTCTCTAAAATGAGCAGGAACGAACCTACTATCCAAAATGTACGCGTCTTCTTCTCCATCTGCTCGTTCTTAGTTTAGACTTTTACTGTCTCTCTCCTGGACACCTCACTCAGTGCTGTTAGTGCTGCAGCAGTAGGTACGGGGTGGAGAGCAGTAACACTACTGTCAGTCACTTGCAGTAGCAGTGGTTCAGCAAAGTGACCCTGGATCTCAAATAATATTTTTTATGGGCCGACACAAAGGTAAATACATGTTATGAGAGACCAACTTTTGAATAAGTTACATATTAACATTTATGATGTGCCACTAAAATTACATAACACCTGCCATCACAAGGTATTCTGCTGTCTTCTTCATGTATGTTTGTCCGACCCAAACACTCATTAACATAACCAATTACAAAGCAGACAGCACATGATAGTACGAATCCAGGTCTAAACTACAGGTTGTGCAGTGAGTCTGCAACAATAGAGCTAGAACATCCTGCTGCATTCTGCACCATCAGGAGTTGCTGAATAAATGTGCCATTCATCACTGAACTGTCCTGTGTGTGTGAGTTGTTGTTGTTGTTGTTGTCCCCTGTTTGGGCTCGTGGATAATGTAATTGACAGATGGCTCTCATTCAGGCCAGGATAGGCACAGGGAAAAGGGGGACGGACATTACAAGTTGAGATATTGCCTGGAGTTTTAGTCTTCAACGTTTGCAAATGAATACATTTCAGCTTGGAAATATTTTGATTTCTTGAGGAATCCTGTGGGAGGAGGTGTGACGGTTTCGGGATATATCAGGAAGGATATATTTTGATTGCTGAGAACTTCAGGAAAGGGCAGATGGGTGCCAAGTTTACCATCTGCTGCTGTCGGTACTACCTGAGACACAACAAGGAAGAGAAGAGTGCTATTTTGCGGTGAGACACCTAACAGATGTGGTGACAACCCAAAGTCCTGCCTTTAATCTTGGTTTATTTTAATAAAATCAAACTCAACTTCAAACTTTTAAACCAGTATTTTCCTCTTATTCTTCTTCCTTCTGTCCAGCATGCACACCACCACAGCTTCTAGACAACCAGAGCTGTTGTCCAGTGACTCCAGTGACAGTGACGCAGAAGGGGAGGAGCCTTTTGGGCCACAGCCTTCGAGAAAGAGCCCATGGAACCATCAGCCGAGCCAGAGGAGCCCAGTGGATCCATGGGCCACCGTAAACAGACCTTGTGAATTTCCCATCAGGAGAGGATCAGACAGGGAGTTGCAGGCTTTTATCAGCATGAGAGACCAGGCTGACAAAGCTACAGAGGTGAGAGAAAGCGTGCTGTCGCTGCTTATGAGATGTAGAAGAGACACTGTGAGAGCGAGTTACACATATACAAATAGACACAAGCAGCAGCATATCTGTTCACATAATTTCACTGTATAAAAAAATGTAAAACAAATAGGTATTTCTGGATATTTTAACGAAAATAGAACTTCTTCTCCCTCTCCCTGGTATGTAGCACATACCAGGGAGTAAAATTAAATCTAGACAGGACACATGATACACTATTTAAAGTTTGCCACAGTCGCTTCATTATTTAGATCCACCACATGGTTGAATGTTAACTACTCTTAAGAATAAGTGTGGTGTTGTTAATTTGACAGATTCAGCTAATTATTAATCAGTTTAATAAACTAATCTGTTTAGTGTATCTGGAAATTGAATGTATATCAATTGTGAATAAATGTGAAGAAAGCCATTTTTATAACATTCTTATTTTACAATTTGTTATTGACAACAACTTTTTCACTGAAATGGAAAGAATTGTGAACATCCTTGTAGCCATCTACGATATGTAGATAGCCATGGTCCTTAACAGAAGTTTAAATGAATCACCTTCTGACTATCATCTATTGACTACTATTAATAGTGAATCCTTAAATCCATTCGACATTATTTTTTGTGCATGGCTTTAGTTGATCAGTTTCCCACAATTAAACTAAGCAGAGACCTGGTCTTTAGATCTGGTTAAAGATTAACTGTATTTCTCCATGGCCCAATTCTTCTTCAAATCCGTGTACTAGTACCAGGAGGGACTACAGTAATTCAGTAATTCAGTCTGTTCCAATGCGGCTCTCTAATGTAATTATATAATAAGAGGAGAGGACATACACAGGTTGCTGTCAAAGAAGCGTTTGACTGACTTTTATGTTGACATATATCAGTAAATTAATTTGACCTAGATTCCAAAATAACTAAATTTGAAAAATATCACATTAGAAGAAATTAACTCGGTGTTTGCAAAATCATGATGGAAAGTATGACAGGAGACAGTTTGTAGCTACATCTGCTGCTAAATGTTAATGTAAAAAGATTGAGTATGCTTAAGTATATGAGTATATGCTTAAGAATAAGAATTTCAAATGGACTGACCTTTAACCATAAACTCTATTATTAGCTGACACACACACACACACACACACACGCACACACACACACACACACACACACACACACACACACACACACACACACACACACAGAAAGATGACATGCTTCTTTATTCACTTACTAAATCATTGACCCAGTACTTCTCACACAGTAACTTACTGTAGGTTGTTCACTATGTTAAAACTGGTTAGACATGTACGTGTGTGTGTGTTGGTGGATAATGGTACTTTTAAAGGATGATCCCTGCAGTACATATAGTAAAATACTTGTGTGTTTGGACTATGTTTGGAGAAAGCCATTCAGTGCTTGCTTTACGTACTGAACTACTATACTGGAGGGCTGGAAATGTCAGGAACACCACAGAATGAACTGTAACTGACTCCAGTACCTCGTACCCACATTCAGAAAATCAGTTTTACTTATTTCTTTTAAATAGCATGAACCAAAAAGGTTGATATTGCTATTTTTGGTGACAAGCTCAATATTATCTTTAATTATCACTATTTTTTTCTGCAGAGGAAACACATTGGGACCATAACTCAAAGGCTTTTACCTCAAAATGTCAGGATGTGAGACTGCAACCTCTGAGCAGAGAGTTTAAGTTTGGTGAACATGTGACAGGCAGTCTTCGTGTGGAGAATAGTCAGGCTGCAGGACACAGTGGGCACATTGTGTTAATGAATTCCTTGATGGAGATGTAGGCCAACAGACTGGCTGGCCATTCAAAGAGAATATTCACTGAACCATCATGATCATGTTGTGACACTGTTTTTAATATTAGGCCAAACAAACTGAGGAATGGTCTGTTACATTAAAAGGTAATTCAGCACTGGGGAAAAACTAGCCCAGTAAAGAAATTAGAACAAGCCAGCCTGTCTCTCTGCTTTAAAGTTTAGATTATTATTCTTCAGTTTCAAACATTACTAGTTAGATTGTTTGGCTCAAGACACTTTTTATTGTTTCCTTGAAATGAGCCTGCACACCAACGCACGTTGGTTAAAAAAAAATTAACACTACCACTTAAAAAGCACCATAGCCTCACAATGGCTGAAAATCATCCAAATCCTGTCCTCGGTCAACTTTTCCTTTCCTGTGCTAAGATATGCTATGTGCTTGACTTGTCTATGTTGAAAAGACAACCATATTTTAAAGATGGTTAAAAGATATTTAAGCAACATATCTGTATATATATAGTTGTTAAAAACTTAAGATGTGACTACATATGTCGCTTTTATCTTTTAACCATAGAAAGTTTGGTTGTCCAAAAAGACCTATTACATGATATATTGTTTGTATGCTTATAGGAATGGGAGAAGCTGAATTATGACATACACACTTTACGCTATGCCAGACGAGAAGTCAGATCTCGATGGAAGAAAATCCTGCTGCAGCTAGGTGAAACACTTTGATGTGATTCTGTTTAGTTAAAATATCCAATTTACAATACTCTGTTGCGCTCCGCTGTCAGTGTGTGATCTTCCCTCGTCTCTCGACAGGTTATCAGTGTGAGGTAGATGCCTTGCTGTGTGTCAACAGACAGAGCCGGTTCAGTCGAGATGAGGAGCATGTTAACAAAGTGACGGAACTGTTGCAACAGCTGCTGGACCACACCTCTCTGTTTCCTCCAGAGACTGGACACCAGAGCAGATACCTTCATGTCATGGTACACACACACACACACACACACACACACACACACACACACACACACACACACACACACACACACACACACACACACAGACACACACACTCCCAGCATGCTTTGGCAAAATGTAAACAACAGTGTTTTCGCAACGGAAAGCAGAATAGCTTCAAAAGTGAACTTAAGGAAGTGACCCATTTTGGAAAGTCTGAAGGTTTAGATTCTTAGTAAGGAAATTCAATCTTAACTCCTGTAACTTAATAAAAAAGAAGAAGGAGCAGCTCTGTACCAGTCATGACGAGTTTAATTAGGGCACATTTTGATCTAATTTTAAAACTACAGTATGCTTTCACATGTTCCCATCTTCAGGTCACCAGTCTTTCCCTCCTCTCTTCCCTTATCTCCCCTCACTGTTGTTGTTAAGTGTCTCTACCATCTGATTTCACCTGTTTTATTCATCTGCTTCCATCTTTCTTTCAGGACCGCCTGGTGTCACTGGACAGTGCTGAGGACTTTGTCAGACTGGCCAAAGAGAAATATCCCAAGAAAGTAGGCTGAGACACAGAGACAGAAAGAAGACATAAAGGTTGAGAGAAAGTAAAGACAAGTGATGACAAATGGCAATTTTTTACCACGCTCTACTACTACTACTACTACTACTACTGCAAAGAGGCAAATTTAATTCTAATGGTAAACTGAAATACCTACTATTTGATGTGTCCTGTTGAGTGAATTAATTTTATTCCACTGCGTATTGGTAAGTTGCACAATTACTGTATTGTTTAGATACAGTTTGTAATGCACTATAAAAATGCTGTGTTTTTAATTTCTGAATTTTCTTTTAAAAGTTTATTTTAGATAATATCACAATATGAATATCATATATAACATCAACTTTTAGAAGTTTCTTTCTTATAGCACTTCTGTTGCACTGGTTACTGGTGTGCAGCTGGAGAAACTCAGGTGCTCTGTATAGGATTGGCCAATGTTACAGGTGGAGATACTTCTGGTTAAAACATGTTTTTTGTGTTTGTTTGAGCTGGTTTGGTATTGTAGGTATTTGGACATCCAGATCCAAAAAGCTAAGAAACCCTCTGCAGGTACAAAGATGTATTCACTGTCTATACTGTAATAAATATGAGAAAATCCATTTAAATGTCTTTCTTTATCTCAACACAAACATCTTTAACACATGTTATTAATTGATTTTAATGATGATACTAAAATATGAACCTTTTTCTGTTATACTGGGTTGTTTCTTGCTCACCTTTTTACTAATAAAAGTAATTGTAATTTTCTCAGTCCAGCAGCTGGAGGTACTCAGTCAGTCACTTATTTGTCCAAAAGGTGGCAGCATATACTGTAGTCATGTTCCAATGGACCTTAAATTGGAAGGAAAAAAAAGTATGTACTTGGGTAGATGAAACCTTCTGTGTCACAGATGGTGTAAAACCATCACAAAATTAAAAAAGAAAGAATATTTAGCATTTAATGTTAAAACAATGATGAGGAATTTGAGGAATATAGTTGTCCAGTAACACATTTTTCAAAAGAATACAAAAATAATGTAAGAATACAGAGGACATTACGTAACGCAGTCTATCCATGGGAAATTACACTTCCCTTTCTTCGTTTTCTGAACTTCCCTTTCTTCAAGGTTTGTGCAGAATGCAGATGATAATGTCTCAACTTGGCTTTCACTCAAAGCCATTTATGAATAACTGTTGTACACACTGTCAACCAAACATGCCCATTTGGGACACTGCACTTCAGGATCAAAGAGTGTGGGAGTCTTCATACAGTTGATGATTGTGGTTTGTCGTACACACGTTCATGCTTGCGCACACACATGCACACAGAAAGAGAGAGTTTACTCTGACCCAGATATTGTTCTCTCCAAGGCCCCTTCCAAAGTTTGGGAAACAGATGTGGAACAAAAAGAGGGGAGAACGCTGGGGGAGGGGAACAGTTGAGAGGTGGACCAATGGTCTGGCCGCTCCGCAAGGCATTATGCTGCTTGCACCTTTTTCTCATTAAACAACTATGTGTGTGTGTGCATTTTAGATAGAGTAATGCTTACATCATTCTCCAGAATTTTACTGAAATACCCCCACCCCACTCCCCTTCCCATAGGGAGTAAATTTGACAGAAGAAAGAAGGGGGTAATTAAGAGATTGATTGTGTATGTTGGAATACAAAAATTAGAGACAAAAGACTAAACGGTCACATTCTGGTTGCTGTATGTCCCTGTATGTGCCAGTGTGTGTGTGTGTGTGTGTGTGTGTGTGTGTGTGTGTATGTGTGTGTGTGTGTGTATGTAAAGGGTCAAAATCTCACCAAATACCTCACCATAAGAAAGTCTACTCATCTACCATTGTGTGTGTGTGTGTGTGTGTGTGTGTGTGTGTGTGTGTGTGTGTGTGTGTGTGTGTGTGTGTGTATGTGTGTGTACGATGTATTGCCAAAGGCCAGTCAGTGGGCAGGGTGTACAACGCATTATGGTCACACAGAAATTCATGGAGACGACGGTCATTCAGACTGTGACTCCTGTTGATGGTCAGATGTTTTATGAGAGTCTCTAGTGGGGCGTTGTCCACAGACACACACACTCATGCAGTGTGGTGAGCGATGGTTTTCTCGTCATAGCGGTGGGTATTCACAGTGAAGTTATGTCTGAATAAACTGTCCATCTTGTCTTTACTCTTTCTTTCCATCTTTGCTCTTTAGATGTTTTTTTCACTGAAAATGAATTATACTATTGGAATTTCATTCAGTTTAACGGAACAGCTTAACATTTTGGGGGATTTGTTTTCTTGTGGACAGTTAGGTGAGATGATCAATACCACTCTGTTAAATATGACACTACAGCTAGAAGCTTAGCGTAAAGACTGAAAAAAAGGGAGAATCCAGCTCCTCTAAAGTTAACTAATTAACACACTAAATCCCATTTGTCTATTTTCGCAAAGACCAAAGTGTAAGAATGACATGTTTTATGGGGGGTTTAGGTGCCCGCTTATTTCTGGAGACAACCAGTGGAGACTGCATGAAATAACTGCGCCCGGTTAGGAAATAGGTAGATTTAAGCTAAGGGATTCTGGCTGTAGCTTCACATTTATCAGACATGAGAGCGGCATTGATCCTCTCATCTAACTCTAGGTGTCTTACTGTAGAATATACAGAAAGCGTTTCTTTCTTAGCTTTCTTTCATCAAACCCTTCCTTCATCCACTTCCACAGCCTCTCCCCTGTGCGCGTGTGAAGACTAATAAACACAGACCCAACACTAAGTGTATGCTGTCCTTCATTTAGTTTATAATGCAGACCCATGACTCATGAGGTCAGGACCTTCATGTTTATGTCCACATACAAAGCACTTTGCCACAGTGACTAATGGTTTACTTAGTTATATGTCAAAGTCTGTCAGGATGAACTATGAGTGCCTTTTGGATTTGAAGCTCTTATGGTTGACTCAAACAAAACAACTGAATCCACGACTTGCTTCACACATAATAAACATAGGTCAAGATACTTATTTACTCATCTTCTTGGAGACTAAACATGGCTATAATCAGTTATCTTTACCACTGTTACCAAACAGGAACCTCTCCTTACACACTCACTAATGCCCTGACACACTGGATTAGCCAGACAGCTGTTTTACTGTTGATACGTCTACATTCACATAATGCAGTTACAGAGACATGAAGAGTCTGATTTTGTGATCCACAGTTAACTCAGCATGTGAGTATAACTTAGTCATGCTGGTGGCGTGGCCCTACAGATGGCAATGCTGATGGTGGTGGTCACGATTTTACTTTGTCCAATAATTTTGTTTATGACCAAATATTTGCAAAATGAATGACGTTCCTATCAGCCTTAGCTGTACCTGCTAATTAACAAATGCTTGCTAAACTAGGTAGCCTAAACCTGCCAAACATCAGTGTTTTAGAATTTTGACTGTGAGCATGTGAGCATGTTGATGAAGCACAAAGCACTGCTCCAGCAATGTCCAGCCTAAAAGAGCTGTTAGCATAGCTGAGGACTCTTACAGTCTTGTCTCAGGATAGCTTTGGCTGTGGACTCAAAAACATTACACTTTTCCTTTGGTTTATAACTTTCAGACAGTTGGAAATTTGAGGTTTAAAAAAATTATTTGTCATCAAATGATATAAATGCAGATGTGTTCTCACACAGTCCTGTAAGATTAAGTGGAAATAAGCATCAGGTGACTTTGATATACCTTCATTAATTAGGTTGATTCAGTATATTAAAGATATATTTATGGTGGCTTGAAAATGGGACTATACAGGTTTAATCTGTTTACCTTTACTTGTACTTAACAAGGCAGTATGCATTTTGCAAATGCCCCATTTTATCCCCTCTCAAAGCCTCCACTGTTTATCTCATAGAGTAATTTATGATAAGACAGTGTTGAAGGCAGTGTCACACCCATGCACACAAACATTAACAGACATATTACATACTCACACACACACACACACACACACACACACACACACACACACACACACACACAAACACACTCAGTAATTTGTAACGGATGTTTGGAAAAACCAGGCAAATAAACCAGGCCACAGTGTGCTGACCCCTGTGACTCCCGACACAAGGTCAGAGGTCAAGTCTGCTCAGGAAAGGCAACATTATTACATCGCTTTCAAGTCAAACTCTTCCAACTGCAATTTGAATATTGTCTGTTAAGAGAAGCAGATTTCAATTTAAAGCAATGCCAGGGGTCTCCAAACCGAATTAGCTTGCTGTTGGTATTGTCATCTCATGGGAGGGCCACTTATATGTCAAGTACTACAAGAAAGTGCAATATTCGGACAATATTTCCATTATTAACATCATACATAATAAGAATGTGCAAACAGAAGTTCCTATACATTTTAATTTTAATTTTATATAAACTTTTGTTCGTAGACAAACAACAAATAAAGCCCTGAAACCTGCTCTCTTCTTATCAACCGAGTGTATGCATTTGTGGGCGTTTAGGTGTGTTTTTATCTTAATTGTATATTATAGTTCAAATTGGATGGAGAGCTGGAAATGGGACACCGGCCGGCTGTTTGAGGCCTCTGGTCAAAACCAATCGAACTAACTAACTGCAACTATGAGGAAAAGTACTTCAAGCACAGTACATAAGCATTTATACCGTTGTCTTTCCAATTGTAGTTTATTCTCATTTAAATGTGTAGGTGAATTTTCCTGAATTTCATTATACAACCCTGCATTTTATGAACCTTTCTCTGTTCGAAGATGCTTTTAGCTTTTCAAAATGTACTGTTCCAAATAAAAGTCATTGTTTTTACTATTTATAACTGGAATACCATTCATTATTGCATTATTCTAAGTTTATGATTGGATTTCACCACCCTCTGTACCAGCACTCCATTACTCACCAACTCAACTATTCTTTCAACTCAACTTTTCATTTTGTTGTAATGAATGGATTTAAAAATCAAAACATTGCTCTCAGACTATAATGATCAAGTGTTCACTGACACCACAGTCATGAAAAGCATGTTCTTGAAGTCAGTGTCATTCTTAGTTTCTTAGTAAGGGCAGAAAATAAAGTAGAACGCACACAAACACACACAGACACACACAGACACACACACACACACACACACACACACACACACACACACGCACACACACAGCCCAGATGGGTTGAGCAAGGCTTTGGGCAGGGCAGGGTGTGTTCTACAGCATGTCTGTGGTCATCAGTGGTGGATCAGTAATTACACAAGTCCACTGATGCCCTTGAAATATCCTGATTTATTTCCCTTAAATCGAACACGATTACAGGCGATAAATGGGAGTTTCCTGAATTAAGGGAAGTATTTTGTTACTGTAACTGTTATTCTTATAACTGTATCCACTTGGAGATCGGGACTCAAATGGAGGATCACTGGATAGCGGGTCAGCATCAGACAATTTGTAGGTATGTATGTTTTATTAAGCCACAAGTTCCTGGACAACTGATGGGGGATACCAGTTGAATATAAGAACACACACATCTTATTCACATGAGATATACATTAACATGGGGTAAAGGACACATCCAGATGCAGCTGGGTCTATGTGTATATGTGTATATATGTTACAGCATTCACTGATGTGGTTTTGGATCTTTGGAGTTGTCTCACACAGATGTTGAGGTCATGCCCTACCCCCCCAATCTGCCTTAAACTCACTTCCACATGTGTATGAATGTTTTCCTTGCCGTTACTAAATGATAGCACCAATTGGGACGTATCAGTCAAACTAAGGATCGTGGTTAGTAAGTCTGAAAGCTAAAAAAAATGACGGCAGATGTAATGACATTTTTTAATTTTTAAATATAGCATCTCTTGA